TCGCAGTACCGGCTTGAAATACGTTGCGAGATGGGGTAATTTCTCGTGTGTGAAACGAGCGCAGTCAGGATAGGTTCCATCCGTTGACGATCGTCCCGTGTGGCCAGCTCAGCGAAATATCAATTGAAAATAAGGAAGCGTTAACGTACGTTAGAGTTACGATTCAACGAGACCCCGGGCGTATTACGTGCTTTTATCAAACTCATGGCAACAAATTCATTCGGTAAAATGGGTGATAATCGCGATGGCAAACGATATCACGGATCCGTTGATCGAAGATTTATCGACAATTTCCGATTGACACCTACAAATTCCGTCTCTCCGTCTTCCGTCTAAAAAACAAACGTCCATCTACTGGGCGGTTTTCCTAGGCGTCCATCTACTGGGCAGTTTACCCTACCCCTCATTTCCATCGCAATAAAACTGATTTGTAGACTCGCGACACCTCTCCCGAACAACCAGGGATTATAAAACAATAAACACCCGTACTCACCGTATTAACTCCCGTAAAATCCCCAAATATTGATACACCCTCTACCCTAAAAACCCGTGTCCTATCGCAAAGCTAATTCAATCGTTAACACGCAGGAACTGGAGCAGTCAAATAATGCAGCATTATTTCTGGGGCTGGAGGTATTTAACCATCTGTTTGGGTTTTACCATAACCGCAAAATTATTTATGTACCACTGAGCCCCTCGTTGAGCATCGGAATTATTCATCCAGGCGATAATTATCCCCCCCCCCATGTTCGACAAATTCAGACAATTAATCGAGATTATTAAATATAACGGAAAAGGTTATTGATTCAAATTTACGAATTATCGGGCATTTTAAATCGGTCTGGTACCCGCTATTACTCCACCATTCGAAATTGATGAGTACGAGTACAGTCTATGCTAGAGAATTCCTGTCGATAATGTTGATTCGAGTGACGTGCGCAGAAGTACCAGGCGATTATGAGATCCGGTGATACAGCGTTGTGGCTCGGTATATTATGGAAATTAATAACTCAGCGCGGCTGATGTATAGCACCGAGACGGAGCTGGAAAGGGGATTTGACGACGGGTTGAGAATGAGCTTGAGCGTCACTCGGTGCATCATAGTCGTCCCATGAATATCACATCAAACGGTTCGTCTATCCGATCATTTAATTCCCGATAATTATCCTTTGGAAACTCTCATCATATGAGAGTCATCGGAAGTTCTGATTACTTTCATCTTTATGGAGGGGTTTTCTTTTCGCGTGCAATTACACCCATTAAAATCCTCATCTGCATTTTTTTTTTCAACGCCTCAGCGAAAGACTTTTCTCATTTTGAAGTTATGTAATGTCAATATTTTCGGTAATGGGAGATTAGTTTTATTGGCTCGGTAACATTCGAGTTTGAGGGTAGTTTAATTAACGGAAGTCCATCAAACAAGCGAATAATTTCCGGGATTCACGGGAATTGCGAGAAGGGTCAAACATGGGGGAGGTTATAATAGATTCAATATTTCTACATCGGGTCGTTAACTCGGGCGCTGAATGGCGATCAAAATGGACGGAGTGCGTTGGAGAAAATGATTTTTTCAAGATGCTTTTACTGAAGGCACTCAGAAAAATGGTTTTTGAATCTAATAAAAAATTTTATTTGAAATTTTTTACTTGTTTCAAGAAAAAGGATTTAATTATATTAGACAAACTATTTATTTCAAATGAATGGATTTCTTATTTTAGGAAAATTACATTTTTATCTAAAAAAAGATAAATATCCGCGTTTTTCGCTCAATATTTTCTGAATTTCAGCAGCTTTTGATGAATATCTCGAAATTTAAGAAAGATAGCAAATTTCTTCTCATAACCTTTTTTATAGCCCTTAATTGGATCTACAAAAAATATTGTGACAATAAATTTTCTATCTCTTTTAGATTCCGAGATAGTCGCCAAAAACTGGCGAATAGTCGAAATCGACTTAACTCGGTTTACCGTTTCGCTACTGATTTATTACCATCTCATAGCGATAATAAATTATCAGTGTCAAATAAAGATTTGTTTAATTCAAAGAAAAAAATCATTTGATTCAATGAAAGAATTTATTTAGATCAAATAACGATTCATTAATAGTAAAAAAAATCGATTTTGATGAAAAAAGTGTCGAAATATTCTTCAACGTTTTAGCTTCCTGGAAGAATAGTAAAAAGTAAGAAACGTGATAAACGCCTTCAGCTATTCTGCTATCAACTTGATTTCGTTCACTCTTGTAATAAACTTCGAAAATAAATATTGTCGAAAATTCTGTTGATAACAGTTTTTATCATTTCTGGCAAGGCATTAAATTTTACTTGCAGCTCCCGAGACACGCGATAAATGTGGCAATATGTGTTGAGCACTTTCGAAATCCGAAATATGCGATGGAAAACCTTGGAGAAAAGACTTTTCACCTTTGATTCTATGCATTCCGATGGAAAGTCGTGATGAGTTCGCTGCCCCGAATTATCTATCTCGTTAACTGGAAATTTGTTGACCAATTTATATTGAATTCTTGTATTGAGCTGCTATTTTTATAAGATCATTTGTTCATTTAAAAAATTAATATAATAAACACGATAATATCGCGTTGAAATGAATCATTCTATCAGTGTATGGTTCACCACGATGGTTAACGGAAAAGAACTACTTTCAATTACTTCTGTTATCTACAATGATGTAAACACTATTTCGACAATTAATGGTTTGGACAGAAAATGACATTCTAATTACTTTTCTAATCAATAACGGAGCCAAATGAATTTTTCATTACCTGGTTATGAAGTCGACTTTCACCCTTGACCCACGTGGAAAGGAAAAATTTTTTTTCCCCTTTTTCTGTCACCTCCGAGGGTTTCATTGGCATCAGGGGGTCAATAAATACACAATCACCAGAATCAACGTTCACTATTTTTTATTTAAACACCGCCTGCAAACGGGGAGATGAGGGTGGCTGAAATATATTCTGCAACCCTGTCTCCTCGTTGGCTATAAATTTCAACCCTCCGCCTTCCCCTTCTCCCGCTCGTAAAATCACGCGTTCTCGGTAGCATCGAGGACTTCTCAGGACCGAAAAGAACTGAGGATTCGAAAGGTCTTTGGAAAAGTACGTCGCAGAACTGATTAGGACTTACCAGGTCCATCTAGGTCTGGAGAGATCTTGAAAGACCTGTCTACGTCCAATCAGAACCAAATCCTCGACTCTGGCGGCTGGTTAATTTTTACGGAACAAATCGTAGCATTTACGTGGCGATTCGTACAATTTCAGTTCAGACTCACACTTTTATTGAATTTTACTTCACTCGTGGATTACGTTTCGAAGCGTAATCTTTACATATTTTTTTCTGGTAACTTTTATTGAATTTTTCTCTCCGTGTTCACAAGGGAAAAGGGGTAATACAAATCGAATGATAAGTCTCGCCCATTTAGGTGAAACCAGAAAATGCCGTTTCATCTTAAAATACAAGGTAGAATGGATTGCGTTCAACATTCTAACGACTTCTTGATAAGATTGCGCAGAAAGTAATATTCCATCGATAAAATTTCGTCACCACCCTGATGGCTCACCACGATGGTTAACGGAAAAAAACTACTTTCGATTACTTCTGTTATTTACGATGATGTAACCACGATTGCGCACATCAATGACTTGACAAGAAAATGACATTCTAATTACTTTTCTAATCAATAATGGAGCCGAATGAATTTTTCATTACCTTGTTATTGAAACATATTAGTGACATTAATACTCAATACTCATTTAATCACACATTGTGAGGAGTATTTAGTACGTGACCTGTAGGACTTTCTTACACAATAAAAAATTGAAACAGAAAATTGTGAGAAATACATCCCATTGGAGGGGGAAGTTGTGTCGATATAAATAGAGCTGGAGCATCCCATAACGAGAAAAAAACTTTTGCACATACTCCGATTCCATCCCAGCACCTGTAATTTTCCGAAATGAAGATAAAGGTTTCGGCTGTCATCCTACTCCTCGCTCTCTGCAGCGTACAGCCTTCCAGCGCTTTTCAATATGTAATGACCATAGGTAAGCAATACTAAATTATTCAATTCAGTAGCCAAGTGGTCAAAAGGTTCAAGTCAATTAGTGATGCCGTCGAGACTAGTCGAGAATTATTTTGAAGAGATTATCACGGTCTGGAAAAACATCGAAAGTTTTGGAATCGTCGCAATCTCGAAAGACATTGGACCGGTGCATCTCGTCACAATTCCGGGACGATTTATCTTGCCTGGATGTCGAAATTTTCGGTTTTTTAAGTTCACGAGACGAGACAGATACACGGAGAGAAATGTTCCATAAAAATTACGGAACTCACAATTCGCTTACCGATTACGGAATCGACTCAGAAAATTTTAGAGACGGTATCGTAATTTTTCACAGGAGATTCAGATAAAAATTACGGAACGCTCCGTGAAAAATTCCGTGACAGTTCCGTAAAATTTCCTACAACCACATTTCGCTCACGAATTACGGAAAAGATACGTAATTTTTATTGAATATTTCTCTCCGTGTATCAAGACAAACATTTGAAAAACAGAAAATACTGAAACTCAGACGTGATGGGTTCCTCCAAGTTCGTGACGAGATGCACCGATCCAATGTCTTTCGAGATTACGACGATTCCTAAAGTTTCGAGTTTTTAGACCGTGATGATCTTTCCAAAATAATTCTCGTCTAGTCTCGACGGCATCACTAAAGTCAATTCAGTCTTCAGTTGAGTTTTCCAGAAATATTTCCGAATGTAATGGAGATAGCGAAATTTTCATAATAACCTTTTTTGTAGAGCGAATTGAGTGCCACTAAAAAGGTTATAAGAAAAATTTTGCTATCTCCCTTAGATTTCGAGATATTCATTGAGAACTGGCCAATAGCCAAAATAGACTCGAACCGTTTGCATAAATGTTTATTTCACCTTTTCCATATCTTAACAATGCTGTTCAGGTAATACAGTATACACAGCCATGGAAATGTCGTCATACATACTGATGACAAACGGCAGCACCGAATCTATGATTAATACACTCCAAGGCTCCATCATCTCTATGCAAAATGGCACGGATTTGCGTGTTATTTTTGACGTTATCACGGAACTACAGGATCAAGCATGGGACGGTGATGAGAAAAATAGAGTAGATCGGTGGAAATCACAACTGCAAGACTACATATCGAATATCGGCTCAAATTTCGAGAGACTTTCGCAGTTGATCAAGAAGGGAAAAGAAGCTCCTGCCCAAGATTGGGATAGCTTCGTCAATTACACCATGGAAAACATTGAGGAAAACGTTAGTCCATTGCAGAAAAAAATTTTCCCGGGTAGAAAACGCCCCAAAGGCACTGGTTACATTTTCGATCTGGCTCTTACTAGTAATGTGAGTCTTGCTGGGATAATTCAGAGGGGAGTATTCAGATCCATACTGACTGAAATAGGTTATCCTTTTCTTTCGTCTATTGTAGGATTTACGGAGAAAACATTGTCGTGAAGCGTTGGCGATGCAGTCATTTCTGAGCCATTTATTCCAAACGGTGATGGTCACTGAAGCGAAAGCTATGCTTTCACTGACTTACGCTATCTTGATTCAGAATAGCTCGTATGAAGGTAGGTTATCAAGAAAACTGGTTTACAATGAACTACTCAAGTTCTTAATCTTTTAACTGAAGAATCACAAAATTGTGGAATTTTTGGTCCGAATTGTCCTAGAATTCCATTAATTTTCTCCAATTGCTAGTGATCTTTATAAAGTTTTTCATATGTTGCCTTGAACATCCTTTGGAACGAAAAACTAGTGTTTACCGTCGGGAATTATTCTTCTCAAACATTGACGATTTTGTGTTCCGCCAGCGCGGACTTACAAACTCTGGCAGCTGACGGTCGACTTCAAAGACCGATTCAATTACTACATGGTGCGTACTGCGGAAGCCATGTCCATAGCACCACATCAAACAACACCATGCGATCCTCCCAATGGCACCCGTATTCGAGGTAATTCAGTTGTATTTATAATTGATTTGAAATGTTTTGATGATATCCTGGTAATCTTCATGGATCTATGATTTCATAGATGAGACTTACTTTGAAATCGAGAGGTTGGAGCAAGTATCGGTTTTCCAGTTCTCCGATACTTCCAACAGTAGGGATTGCGCCAATGCTGTGGAGAAAAAATCGCTGACGTTCTATTCGGAACGAGATATTTGTAAAGGTAGTCTATCTGACTGCGAGTATTCCGGATGGTTAGACGTTTGTCGATTGGTGAGTGCATTCTCAAAATTACTGAATCGATAAGGACTATGATCTCGAACAAGAACACCCAAAAATATAATGAATCATACTAATTTGACGTAATGAACAAATACACAGGAGAATAGTTCAAAGCGATACGAGTGGATCAAATCAGAAGGTGGAGATTATGGAATGAACTTCGACAAATGCCCCAGTGGCACTATAACTAAATATGAAGGGAATAACAATTCGTCCAATGGTCACTGTATTTGCAAATGCCGTGAGGCTGGTAACTGGATGAGTGTGAGCCCAGTGATGGCTAATGTATCCGACAATATGTGAGTTGATAAAGGATGATTATTCTTGTAACAACTGTCGCAGCGTCATTAATATGTTTATCATTACTTTTCATTTTCAAGGGTTGTCATTGGTTCACGGTTCATGCGTAAGGAAGGAGTTCTTTACCTGCAACTGAAGCAAGGAAGGCTATTGGCTAACGGCTGGATTGATCCATCCTCGCAAGAGTGGATTCCTTTACCAAAGAACCCGGTGTTGATGGCGATCAATTCAACTCACAACAAGTTCTATCTTGACAATGTACCTTTGCCGATGGGGCATGTCGTTGTTGGTGAGTGACTTTGGCATTTCAGAAAATAGTTGTTGCATTTGTAATTTACGATGTTCTTGCTTACAATTCAGTCCTATTTTCAATATGATGATAACTCTTTTGATAACACTCATCTTTCCAATTCTAGGAGCTCAATTGGAATATGATGAAGGATTCTCCCTTGTCGTCTTTGGAGTGAAGTTCTCTTTTTCATCAGGAAACATGAGATCATCTATACTAGAGAAATTTGCCCATCATGACAACTAGTAGGACAACATGATTGCTTCATTAAGGTGTTCATTTCCTTTCACTTATTGATCTAATCGAAATTCGCATTTTCAAAATTTCAGTGATCAACTAGAACTTCCCCGGAAAAACTCGATCTACACGAATCTCAAGCACATGCAGGTTTCAAATAAACAGTGGATAGAACTGCAGGTTTCTGATTGGAAGCATGACGCGGGACAATCTGTGCTGCCATTATTCGATGGAGTAGCGATTGAAACTGATCCACCGGTGCCATTGGGTGGAATTGGAATTGTGCACAAAGGCGTGACCGAATATGCTGGGTTCATTTCTCCGAAGTTGTACTCACTTCCATATTTAAAAATTGTGAAAACATATATTAACCAGCGTCTAAATTGGTTAGCACTTTAATAAATTGAGTCAACTTCGTCGATGAAATGAGCACCTATTCATGTAAATGATAATTTTATGAGAAGCAGCTTGTATTCAATTAGATCTTAGATTTTATGGTGAAAGACTAGTTGAATTAATAAATCCAAATGAATGACCAGTATCAATCAATCATTTGAACCCACTTTCGCTTGCGGTTGGAGAAACTCGTAGTCGCCAAAGGTCTTGACAATATTTGGATTGAGATTATCATTCTCAAATAGATCGAATAGCGAATTAACCTCGACGCAAAAGTGGAGCCAACACTTCTTTTGGTTAATTTGATGCCATTCTGGATTATCTCTACACCATTTCTACCAAAGAGGATTCTAACCACTCCTCATTTGTCTGAATGCACACCCACTAAACTTCAGGAAGTGAGTGTTTTTGATCTCTACCTCCTCAGCATCTCTGCAATCCCCATAGACCCTCCCCTCCACCTCATCAACATCAACCTCGTGTCTTTATTAGTCTTCAAGAACGCAGCCAAGTCGAGTGTTCGTCCGAAAGTTACTCCTCCCGGATTGGAGTTGCTGATGCCTTTCCTCCATGAGCTTGTACATTCTCTTTCCTGTTTTCTCTCTAAAAGCTCGCCCCTTCCCCTTGGAAAACTTTGGTACCGTTGCCAAAGTTCAAATACAACTTCCCACCTCTCGTTCTGTATCTCGTCCTTTTCACAACGCTACGGAAGCTCAACAAGCACTCATAAACCAGTGTTATGTCTCCCTCGATTTTCCTCCATTATATTTCGTCGTTATAATGACACTGTTATTACGTTGACAACGAGGCTGGATAATTTATTGGTGCTTCCTCATTTTTGCTATGAAGGAAAGCTTCTGTTGAAGTTTCCGCGGAACTTTTCAGTTTTGTTTTATTGCAAATTGATCGTAATGACCGGCAATGAAGGATCCAGGACAAAGGAACAATTTGTATAACAAAGCTTACATCCGGAAGCATAAACTCTCAAGCGTAGAGTAGACCGTTGAAAATTTTCCATTGGAAATGCTGAAAATCAAAACTTCTCCATTGCTACATCAAACCCCGTTGATGTAGACACATTCCACAATCTGTCCCCCCGATCTTGATGGATCTGCTGTTTGTACCAAACGAGACGCCGACATTGAAGCTGGGCTGGAGTAAAAATCTGAAAGAAAAGAATGCAAACCATTATCATCATCATTTTAAATTCGTCGTAGTAGCTCCTGGGTTCTATGAATCCGCTATCACGAGCTTTTCTTCTCGTTTGATCTCTCGGGGCCCCCAAGTCCAGTGGTTCTCGTAATGCCACGTGTCCACCCTCTAACCCGAAGAATAAAGTATGCTTGCCGTAACACCACACTGAAACCATGTGGTGTATGCACCCCTGTTGAGTGTAATCTAGACGTCCATTGAACGTTTATCAGGAGTTACGATCGGGGGCGTTTGTTGTCCCTTTGACTAGGTCCAACCAGGTCAACTGTACTGGCAGTGTCAACATTCATATAAGAGTTTCGTGGATAACGAGTAGACCATCCCTTCTGGTTAATTTCCACTGGGCTTCATCATTCCTCTCCTTTTCATTATGGGCATAAGAGCCAATCCCCCAGCTGACCAAACTCACCTCGATGTCCCTGAATGTGACAACACAACTCTCGCCCACTCATTCTTGCTAAAAAAATCTTTTTACTGGGAAGCTATACGGTGAACACATTCTGTAAAGGCCGGTATCTTGAAGACGTCTTAATTTAAGAGATTAGACATTGGAAGAAGTGATGGAAGTATTTGGAGAAACAAATGAGACGTAACTGTGAAACAAAAGTTCCTCGAGGAAGACGTCTGGAAGGTAGATCTTAATGGCTTAATTTGAGTCATTAGGTTGTCTGGTGTAGCATAAAGAAAGGAATATGCTTAAATTGAATTCGATGAGACATCACTAATAGTAATGCCGCAAGACAAGACAAGAATTACGTATTTCTTGTCTTGTCTTGTCGGATATGAGTGAGAGGAAAGAAAATCTGGTTTTGTCTTGCGTTCTCTTCAATCCTGTAAGATTAATAAATTGAGTTGTCCTCGTTTGGCTCGTGATTACTTGACAATTTGTGCATTCGGAGAGGTTGTTTTCCTTCAGAAAGGTTGTTTTCAAAAGCTAACCTCGGAAAACACCGGGGTCGGTTGGCTAACAAAAATGTTGACTACTTGCTGTGCATGAATTCATAGTTCTCATCTCCGCTAGCTCCTATCATAGAAGATGCGCTATTCGAGAAGAGAGATTAATATAATCGAGGAATACATAATCCTTCACAATATCCAGGGATAACTGAAGTGTTATTCAACAAAATGGCCTTATATTATTGAATTTTTTGATTAATTCAGTGGCGAAGTGGTAAAACGGTTTGAGTCGACTCATCTCCCAGTTGAGTTTTTGAGGAATATTTCGAATCTAAGGGAGATAGCGAGATTTTCGGTATTACATTTGTTGTAGCTCTCAATCGACTCTACAAAAAAGGCTTAAGAAACATTTTGCCATCTCCCTTAGATTCCGAGATATTCATTGAAAGCTGTCAGTAGTCAATAGTCAAAATCGACTTGGACCGTTTTACCACTTCGCTACTGAATTATTTTTTCTCTTGCGCCATCCTTTTCCGCTGAAGACTGACCAATAACAGAAATTTCGTGCAGCGGATTAGAAACTCTACGTCATATCTGTAACTTTGGTCTTTTCCAGTCTTCTATCCCACCGACAGAAGCTCCCATCCGTCTGCAATATGTATTACATTACCCGAGTAGAGGGATCCTTTGACAATTTTAATGGGGTAAATTTCATTCAGGATAAAGTATATTGAATTGACAAAGGAGTAATCTCCACTCTGCTTCAATTTTTTAATTAAATAAAATGTTCCTCTGTCCTCACTGCCCCATTGTCATCGCGAATGTCATTTAATCGAATGAATAAACGCACATTGTTAATGCACATTTAATTAATGTTCTCACTACATTACATTTTTGATTCACAATTTTTAGATGAAAATTCCTCAGCAAATTTCCCATCGCACAAAACTCACTCAACTCACTCTATATCTCATTTTCCTCTGTCTTTTCACCTTCATCCCACCCCATTTCCCTCCACCAATTCTTGCCCCACCTTTTTCCTCGTTTAAAAGATACGAGACTAGAATTTTAATGAGGCACTTGAGCACAGCCAGAGCGGCAAATAGCTTTGCTCATATTCTTACTATTCCAATTGCACTTGTACAATGGCATCAATTTTTCATTGGTAACACGAAAGCCTCTCTCGCTCGTCTGATTTAGCCGAAAAATGCATTCGGTCTGTTGTAAATTTCAATGTTCTATTCATGGATGCTAATAAGATTTCCATTTACATTGCAAACACATCATTATAAACCTCAGGTCTGCTCGAAGAAAAATATAATTACCTGTTATGCTGATTGCAAGCTGTTACCCAGAAATACAGACATACCTCATTTTGACATATGAGGACAATCGTTGCTACTGGTTTTGGAGGGGGGTGGGGCGGGGGAGGGGGAGGGTGTACAACAAGGGCATTATTTCAACTTTGGACGATGAGAAACGACGGTAGAATGGAGTTGGAGTGTCTGAGAGTGAAGATGTTTGCCATGTTTAGAGAAGTTTGCTCATTTCGTGAATGGATCGAACGAGCCCCTGTGCCTCGGTTAGGTCCTTGGATATATGGTACAGTGGAAACATTTGGACTAACGAAGACGTTGACATCGCATGCAATTTCCATCCAGACTCCCACGGTCTATCTCCTCGGTAACCGCAGTAGTACAATGCAACTTGAATTACTGCTTGCGACTCGTAGATACCATCAAACGCAATGACAGGTGAATCAAGGAACTTGAGGATTTTCAGGGGCAAAAGCAATTGTCGGAAGTTGAGGCGCTTTGCGCGATTCTTTAGGCGGTTTGTGGCCTCGATTTTCAGTAATTTTTAGTGGATAAAAGGAAGACTCTGAAGCATGCAGTCTGGGAGGTCTAGGTGTCTAGGTCTAGGTGGCGAGGATCAGTTGTTTCAAGTTCGTGATGTCTCATTTGTTTCTGGAAATGCTTACTTGCTTTGGGGAATTGTATCTCAAGACATTGTGAAATGTCTTGTACCAAAAGTCTTGGTTTTTAAGAGAGATACCCATTTTTGGGTTTTTGTTTAAAATTTCATGAAGATTGAGACTAGTTCTTACTGCACTGTTACAAATGTTCGTCTGAATTTTATGTTCAAATTGCGGAAATTTTCATCGTGTCCAAGTTCCACTGAAATTTGAGGAAATTTTGTCATTGAAAAATGAAATATTCCACTGATTTTATGTTCAAATGATCTGGAAATCAATGAAATACTTGAT